AGAAGTGTGGGAGCAGGAGGTGCAGCTGCAAGTGAAATGAGACGTGATGCCGCAGCACTCCGTCGCACTCAGCAGCTCCAGGGCTAAAGCAGGCAGTTATCAGCACTGAAGTGGGGAGAAAAACCCCCATAACCCCATGCATGCAAGGCAGCGGGCCAGTAACCCCATCTGGGAGTACTGGGACATGGTGCCGGCACTGCAGGAACCAGGGCTTTGAGGCTTTGTTAAAGTGGGGGTTGTTGAATAGAAATAGCAAATAAGGAAAGAAAAAAAAGGTGAGCTGGGTAACTTCCCCCCTCATCCCAGCCACGGTGGCTGGAGGCTTTGGAACAGCTTCGGCAAGAAAGTGGTAAAAGAAAGGCTCAGAGGTAAATGGAAAATACGATAAAGTATCTAACAGGTTTACCAAAGATAGAGCATGCCAGCCTAACCTGATATCCTTCTTTGATAAGTGATATTCTAGACAAAGAAAATGTGGTAGATTTTATCTCTCCCGACTTCAGTGGAGCATTTGATGCAGTGCCACATGGGAAACTGCTAGCTAGGCTGAAGACCACAGTGATTAAAAGCCTGGAGCCGTTGAGCTGGCTGCAGGTGGGACGGTGAAGGGAAGTGCCTTGCACTGCAGTGTGCGGCATTGCCCAAGGGCCTGGGACCGAGCCTATGCGCCGTTTCTGTTAGTCACCTTGACACAAGGCGTAGGAAATGCTATCAAAACAGAAAAGGAACAGGATGTTGGACAGAAAAAACCCAGTGACCTCGGAGAGCAGCAATGGGCAAGAAGAATTCAGCGATGCAGAGTGATAGTCACACCTGAGGATTAACAGGAATTTCTACTCATCACTGGAAACAACCAAACCAAGAAAGCCCTTCGAGGATGAGCTGAAGACAGGCAGATGGGGGTGTGTTGGGCAGGGGACTGCCCAACCAGGATGGCAGGGTGGCCCCACTGGCAGAGCACAGCCTTCAGGAGAGGACTCTGCAGTGCCCTTCCCGCAGGGCTTGGCAGTGGGGTGCTTGCTGCAGCCCTTACCGAATTTGGCTATTATGTCTGGGGATGAAGAAGCTAGCTGGGATGCTAGGACCCGGGTGTTTGCCCTTGACCATACATTCCTTAGTCCTGCTACTGTTATTTCTGCAAGACCAAGGATGAAATAGTTCCCAGAAACTGGTTTTCCCCACACAAGGTAAGACAAGTGCAGGAACAGTGGGGAGCAGGACGCCGAGCCCAGCGCGCAGCTGTAAGTCGCCTGCCAGTCAGGGCTAAACCCATGCAAACACTGCATTTCTGTAAGAGACGAGAAGCCTTGGCTCCCGCTCCTCGCCCCATCCCTGCATCCAGGTGCAGCCTGAGCACGCTCACGCACGCCTTACCAGGAGGCGGCTGGTGCTTCGCCGAAAAGAGGGTGGTCTGGAAACTTGCCAGCACCCGTCGCCCGTGCAGGTCCTGCGCCAGCCGGTAATTGTTCTGCAGACGTTTGCTGTCATCGTTTCTCAGGCTCGTCACCAGCGTTAACATCTGTAAGGTGAATGGCGTGAGCAGAGCTGGGTGCCTCCCGCTTTTGGGAGCCAGGTGAGCACTGGGGGACCGGCACAGGCAGCGCACGTGTGCAGGGAGAGGCTGGGCGAGACCCAGCATGGAGTTCATTGCCCCGACGGACCTGATCATGAGAGAGCAGCATGGTCTGGTTGAAGATCGTCCACTTCACTGTCTGGTAGCAGGGAGGGGTGGTCAGAGAACCGTTGTAGTGGAAGTAGAGTTTCAGGTTGGCAGGCAGCAGACCCGCGATGTTGAATCCGGGCACCGAGACTTCCTCACCTGGGAGAAGAAATGCCATGGGAGTACGAGCGGGCAATGGAGGACACCGGGCAGGACTGGCATGGAGATCATGGGCAGCCTGGCACTGCATGTGCCAGGGTCCACACTGCTGCCACCGGTGTGTTGGAGAAAGAGCAGTGGCTTTGCCCTGGCAGACAGGGAAAGCACCGTGAGACCAGAGGGCACCTTGGAGAGCTGTTTCTGCACAAGTTGTGCTATGCTCCCCTTCTCACGTACATACGGCAAACGCCGGCTGCAGCCTGTCTCGGCTGTGCAGCGGGTTCCTCTGCTGGGCTGCAGCCCCTGAGACAAGTACTAGGTGGGACAGGGTCTTACCTTCTCTTTCAATTTTGTACAGATGCTCAAATATTTCCTGGTAATATGGGTTCTCCCTGGGGCCAACCTGCAACACAGAGACCCCGCAGTAATGGCAAGGACAAGGGCTGAACAGAGACTGGCCGGTGATGGCAGTGCCAGCAGGGAGGTATCACTCCCTGTGAGAGCCACCCGATCCCAGTGACCCCTTCCTCCTATCATGGCTGCTCTGCCCTCTCTCTCTCCCCTTCTCCCGAGGAGCACTGCACCATTGCCAGTCCCCCAAACTGGCTGATTCTGCCCACCCCAGTCCCACCCTCCCCGCTTCTCGCCGAGGGCTGATCTATAGGACTCACCTCCAGGAAGGCTCCTAGGACGGCCAGGCCATCTGGGTGGACCATTGCCTCATTAAAGCTGTTATACTTGGTGTTGTAGTGGACCACGTGGATCTGGAAGGGAGGCATGCAATTTGGATGCAGGACAGGCACCTCCTGGAGGTGCTCACCCCTGCAGGGCTCCATCCTGCCAGAGCAAGGGCTGGGGGGAGATACAGAGCCGTGATGACCACCCCATCCTAGGAGGGGAATATGCTGGTGGGACCAAGAAAACATGCTGCTCCAAAGCAGAAAGCATAGAAATGAGAAGGAACTTCTTTACTTTGAGGGTAGTGGAGCACTGGAACAGGCTGCCCAGAGAGGTGGTGGAGTCTCCCACTCTGGAGACATTCAAAACCCGCCTGGACGCTGTCCTGTGTAACGTGCTGTAGGTGACCCTGCTCTGGCAGGAGGGTTGGACTAGATGATCTCCAGAGGTCCCTTCTAACCCTAACAATTCTGTGAATTCTGTGAATTCTGTGAATTCTGCCCGCAGGAACTTCCCAGGTGGGGGACAGCAAACCAGCACCCTGCCCTAGATGCAGGGGGGGTCGTACTGCAGAGCTGGGCTCAGTCCGAGGACAGCAGCTAGAGAAGGAGGGATAAAACCAGCTGGGAGCGCGCGGAGCAAGAGGACAGTGTGTACAGAGTAAACAGTCCCTGCAGCTCCCAAAGCAGGCTGCTCACAGCCTCCCGGGGAGCTGCCTTCCCCAGCGCGGGGACCGCCGCAGCTCCTGCTCCATCAGCCCAGAACTGGGCTGCGGCATGGGGATGGGATGCACCACTCGTGTTCGGCCAGCCCCAGCCCACCCGTGGGCAGAAGGTGGTCTCCTCCTCACCTCTGCACCGCAGGCGGCGGCGTGAGTCTGGCTCAGCACGAGAGCGTGGCCTCCTACGCCAAACTCTGCTGCTACGGAGCTGCCCGCGGAGCAGGGATGCTGACCGGGGCTTACTGCATTCACCCAGGGACCACCAGGGCTCGGAGCAAGACAGCACTCTAGCACCTTCCCTGTCTGGCACCAGGAGGGGAGAGGATGCGTTCACCGCCACCAGGGCTCCTTACCTCCGCAGCAAAGCGGTGGCCATTGACGGTGTGCTCCGAGCCGGGTCCCGACGGGGAGCCCCAGTGCAGGTGCAGCTGCACGGCGCGGTACTGCTGGGCATAGCCACCAGTGATGGCCAGTGACTCGGGCAGCTCGAGGAGGACTGAAGAGGCAGAAAGGAAGAGGTCGCTCAGTAAAACACGAAGCCCAGTCCATCCCACAGGTAGGCAGAGGAGATGTCGGCAGAGACAGAGTCACCCTGGGCTTGTGGAAATTGGTCACAACAAACTTGCTTTCCATCTTTCATGAGGCTACGGGCAGGTATCAACACCCACAGCTGTGCCAATGTGGCGGGGTTCAACTTTCGACTTCAGGTCATAGGACACCCCAGTAAATACATCAGCTTCAAAAACTGCTTCTATGAAATTGCTGTAAAGGGAAGAGCCCCTCTGCAGAGACTCCCAGGAGCCAGCTCCAAGCCAAATGTTATCCAACAATTTATTCAGTAAGTGAGAAAAACATAAAGAGACCGTGGACAAAATTCATGGAGAAAGATATTGGCAGCGTGGTGAATACCTATGAGAGCAGGGCAGTTGGACAGAGAGAGCTGCAGCGCTTGGCGAGCTGGGACCTTTCAAATAAAGCAGCCTGCGAGTGTCTGACAGCACTGGAGCTGGTGGCATGGAAGCATTAAGTCTTTTGAAAGCATTTAGAGCTAAAATTTTGCCTCTTTGGGTATGGTAAATATATACTTGGTTTAGCTGGCTAAACCACGTTAAAGTAAAAGGCAATCTGGAATCATACAGCAGTGTGGCAAATCTAAAAGCTGAGTAACCTGCACATGCAGCAAAAATCTCAGGAGCATCCCTGGGCCCCAAGAAAGGCTTCTAAGCATCTTTTCCTCTGTTTTAGTATCAACTCTTTTTCTTCCTCCTTCTTTATAGGTGAAGCGTCCCTTAGCCACCTCACCGAGCTAGGGCACAGGTTCGGGATTAACCACGTAACAGGGCTGAGATGAGTCATTTGTCCTCTCCCTGTTCCCCGCCACTGGGTTCAGAGATACAAAAGTCAAATACGGGAAGTGGGAGAATGCTCCCTCCCTGGGAATTTATCTGCTTTTACTTTTCTTTTGTATACCTAAATCATTGCGTTCCTTTTACTAGCTACCTGAGTCATTTTCAGGCCCTTGAAAAAGCTTATACAGCGCATACACTTTATATTACAGAAAGGAGTAACTGTACAAATATCTCACTGGACTTGCAACTTTTTATTTATTTATGGCTTTTCATAAAGCAGACTGGTAGTTGCCAGAATAAAAAAAAAAAAAAAAGCCATCTTATAAGCATGTGAGAAATTACTTCCCCCTCACCCCCCCACTCCCCAATGGAAATGCTCTGACTGCTTTTCTGAACACCCAGCAACACCAGATACCAGGGTGTCTAAAATAGCAACTACTGAGCTCAACGAGTTTAACTCTGCAGGCACGCTAGGGCAGGAGGCCATAATATAAAGCTCTGTGCATGCACGGCACGGCTGATCTAACCATGCACAGCGAGTCCAACCTGTTGAGTTTGCTGTATACACAGGTCAGCTCCATCTTGCTAGCTACCAGGGCAAGGAGGTGCCTTATCTCACCGTCAGAGAGTTTTTAAGTCCCTTTCTCTGCCACCTTTTCTTAGCTCGGAGACTGGCAGACACCAGCATACACCAGATACTCGGCTTGCTCCCAGAAAAAGCTGGTAGCAACCAGGACCCACCATCGCCAGCTGTGGGGTGGTGAGCGGGAAGGAGATGGGGTTTTTCCTCCATATCTGGCATGGTGAGACAGATACTACAATAATGTGAGTAAGTTGTGTCCAGACTTTCCAAAAAAAACCATTCTAAAATTGGAGAAGGCAAAAAAAAGACCTATAAAAGTTTCTTAAGATCTTGAGATAACCCCCTGAAGCACAGACTTAAAGAAGATGACCAACGTTGTGTCCTAAAAGACCAAGAGGTAAGTACCTTAAAGGCTAAGCCACATCAGAGACTGACTAGTCCTTTGAAAGTGAAATGTAGGGGAGGAATCAGTGGCTTCAAATCTGTGCCAGAAATACCAGGGACACATTTTGAAAGGAAACGTGGGTTTCCTGGAGCCAGCTCCCAAAGGCACTGAGTGGCGAGTTCTCCATCTCCTGGTTTCTCCCTTCCAGACAGAAAAGGACCTATAAAGGCTCAACATCCCCATGCCCCTTTTGGCCTTGAAGGCAACATGACCACAGCCTGCAAGCGTATCCCCTTGCCAGAGCCAAGGAAGGGTGTCAGAGAAGCCCGGTCCTGCCAGGAGAGGCTAAGCGGGCTCTGCTTGTGCTCCAGCATCTGGCTGCGTCTTTGCACCCACCTGTGTGCCCGTTGTTTCTCAGCTTGAGCTTCTCATTGGCGGGCAGGCTGTAGCCAGAGAGCTGGATTGGCCGCAGCTGGGGACTGAAGATGGTCTTGGCCGTGTCAATGTTGATGGGCGACTGTGCATTGCCCCCGCAGTCCAGGTAGTCCCCACCCCAGTGGTCCCGGTCTGGTACGAGGAGGAAGGGAGGGACTGCCAGTGAGACCACCCAGGCAAGGAGCCCACCAGAAAGGAAATTTGGTGGGTGGTGGGGAAGGGGACAGGCACTGGCCAGGCAATAAGCCATGCATGTAAGGTCAGTTTCCAGCAAGTTAGCTTGGGAGCAGCTCTGTGCCACCATGTGACTGCATGCAGCTGTATCAGGAAAGGTCTCGGAGCGTGGTGAGCTGCCAGGAAAGTCTATTTTTGGGGTGTTTGGGAAGAGTGCGAGAAGATCATTTACAAGTGGACTTGGCAAGCCAGGGAGCTGCTGCTCTGCAGCTCATCACACGCTTGTTGCCTTGCACAGCCTGGCCTCTGGCAGGTATCGACCTACCACTGCGCCCACTCTGCTACTCGAGCAAGGTACCACAGTACTGCTGGGATGACACCAGCCCACAGCCACAGGTCTGACGGGTTCCCAGCTGTTAACTGCACCAGTATGGTTCTGCAGAGGGCCAGCTCTCATGGATGGGGTGGCTGCTTGAACTGCCACCTCTCCCCAGTCCCATAGCTGGGATAAGCATGGCTGATGCCCCAGAAACCTCCCCTCATGCTGCAGGGTGCTGCTTCTAGCACGTCTTGGACCAGTGCAAGCCCAGGCTTGCCCCCAGCCCAGACCCTCGCAGGACCCCCATAAAGATGGAGCTGGGCGTTAGCGGGTCCAAGCCAGCCCCTGTTCCCCAGTGGAGTGATAATGCCATGGCCTGGCCCACCACCGTGGTGGGAAGGGGTGCGTTTTGTGCCAGCGCTTGCCACGATCCCCATCATGGATGCTGTGGAGAAGCCCCCTAAGCCATGATGGGATTGGCAGGGCCCGGCAGGATGGGGAGAGGTGAGGACACAAGCTAATCCCTGGGCTGGTCAAAGTCCCAGCACGGGCTGCAAGTCCAGCCTGGAGAACCTAGCCTTGCTTCCCCGCTTGGCACAGGGTCAGGGGAGCTCCCGTTCAGGGAGGAGCCCTGCCCCGGGGAGCATCCCCCCACACCCAGGGGGCTGGGGGAACCCTCGGTGGAGCCATGCTTCCTGCTCAAATCAGAGCAACCCCCAAGCTCTTCAGCCCATCCACGCTCAGGTCAGGGTCAGCCAGGAGGGAAGGGTGAGCCCTGGAGCACGCATAGGAGCCCTGTAATCATTAACCACGTCTGGCTCAGGCCCAGGGTCCGCTGGGTGGTAGGAAAAAAGCAGGAGTAACTGCAGGGTATTTACCTTCATAGCTCCAGTGACTGTGGCCAGGACCTTAAAAAAAAAAAAAAGAGAGAGAGAAAAAAACCCACATGAATGGAAGGGAAAGGTTGGCAGCAAACACACCTCTCTGCTAGGCAGCGCTCCCAGCTCCGGCAGCAGGTCTCTGGGCCCCCATTGCCTTCAGTTTCCCTCCCTGACTTCGTTTTCCCTCTCCTCCCCCTGCCCTGGCCAGGGAGGATGCTCCTGGAGGGCACTGGCTCCTCTGAGCAGGGCTAGGTCTCCTGCACACATCAGCCAGAGGGAAAACCCCCGGGCTTGACACTTTGCCATCATCCTTATAATGGAAAAATCACAGATATTGGCTTCCGTCACTAAGCAGCTGTACCTGCACTCCTGTAGCTACGCTGGAGCAGCGAAAACCTCCCCCTGTCCCAAGGCAAAGCACTTAAGGAGGCAGTTCTGCGGCCTCCCTGATCAGGCTCTGTAAGCAAGAGCAACCAGGGAAGCAGCTGTCCTGGTGGCACTCCTGCGATGCCGAAGTGCTGGAGGGGGTCTTGGGAAGAGCAGCTCCCGCACCACAAAGAGTTTGGGCAGCGAGCTGCATCGCACCGCACAGAGCCCCCCCTCCTCCCGCCGGGGAAAGCAGCCCCAGGACTCGCAGCAGAGGAAGAAAATGAGCACCAAAACCTTCCTTGAGAGCGAGTGCTCCTAGTCTGGCGGCAGACTGATGCAGGAAAACGTGCCAGAACAAACACCCATCTCCCATCCTGGCAGGCCCCTGCCCCAAAATGACCCGACCACCACAATTCCCATGCGGAGCTGCACAAGGGTCCTACCACGCACAAATCCTTTCCCTAGCAAAAGCAGGCGGCAGGATGGGGGAGCCCATGCCAAGATCTCTGCGTGCTCCATGTCACCCACGGGGCACACAGTGGCCACGGCAGGGCAAGGATGTACCCTGTTATGCCCTGAGCCTCCCATGGCTGGGATTGTCCCCAGCACACAGACCTCAAGGGAGCAAAACCCTCCTGCAGCAGGTCCTGAGGTTATGGCAGTGCTCCACACACCAGCCCTTGCACCATCACTCTCCTCCAGAGCTGCCGGCGAAGCCCGCGCTCCCAGCACATCGCTGGAGATGGCCTTAGTGTTGCTCTAGAGCCTCATCTCAGATGGCCCTGACCATGACTTTGGCTGTTATCAGCCACCACCAGCCTTCCACATGCAACCAGCTCCAGCAGGGCTTGGATTTGCCTCAAGCAGAGAAATATGGCCCAGAAGGATCATCCCCATACCCTGACTGGCACAACAGGTAATTCATGGGCTCCTCCTCTGCCTTGTCCTTACCGGCTTGCTCATCAGTGCAGACAGGCTGTTGGCATATCTCAGCCCACGAGGGCAGGGGCAGAGGGTCCCAGGCTGGGACAGGCTTGGGGCAAAGGGGGACATTCCCCCAGCAGCAAGGGGCAGCATCTACACTCACTTGGATCAGCTCCCCAGGGTGGAAGGACGTGGAGGAACATTTAGCAGGTCCAGTCCATCCCCGATACTATGTCTGTCCCTTGGCGGGGCCAAACACCCACCGGGATGCAGGAGCGGCTCAGCAGGCACTGCTCCGGTCCCCGTCCCCGTCGCTGACAACAGCTATCGACAGCCCCTTGCTATTAATAGGAGTAGATTCCAACTCAGGGGTGAGAAAGGAAGAGGCACACTTTCCCAGGCCCAGATGTCCTGTGCAAGGCCCCCAAGCCCAGCGGGATCCTGCCCTCTCAGCAAGGATCCAGGCATGGGTGCCGCTGGGGGCCTTCGGTACAGCTGCCGCCCTGAAGAGTGGATGGCCACGGCAAAACACGGCTGGGAAGGGCTGGAGGGGGCTTTGGAGCACCAGGAGTCGCAGGAATAGGACCAGCCCTCCGTGCTCCGTCCAGCATCTCTGGTGACTCATCTCTGCAGTGAGCTGCCCGCATCAGGCAAGAACACGTGTGCCCCAGGGCTGGCTGCAGTGCCCTCTCCATGCCTCCTTGCATGGCTCTGCCTGGGGACGCACCCGGCTGCGCTGCAACAAGCTGAGATTCATCCTGCCCACCTTGCTCACGCAAAGGTTACCTGCTCCCTGGATACCGACTACACACCAAAATCCAGAGTACACCAACCCTCCTCTGGGAACACCCCGTATCTTCCCCCACCCCGTCCCTACTCTCCTGCCCCATCTGGGTCCAATATCTGCATGAGGTGGTCATGGACCACGTCTACTGCTTTCTCAGCAGGATTCCCCTCCTGCAGCACGAGGGTGCCTGTCAGCACGGGGAGCCCCCCTGTCCCCTCCCCAAGGGGCACTCACACCGGGGCAGTCCTGGCACAGGTGAGGCACATTTGCCCAGGGGTGACACGTGGTGCCTTGGCTCACTGCACATGCCTCAACCGGCACAGCCCGCCCCGGCACCCCGCTTTCTGCTCACCTCCAGGGACTCTGCCTTGACAGAAAGCAGCTCAAACATCATATCATAGATTGAGCAATAGCACCGTGCTGGCACCTGCCCTGCTGTGTCAGCATTGTGCCACCCATCCCAGCCTCCCATGTGTCCCCCCGTGCCCATCTGTTCCCACAGCCAAGGGGGCTCCAGACCCTCCTCACAGTCTCCCGCCGCCTCAGCTGGAGCAGCTTTGAACACCCCAAAATTTGCGGCTGCACCCAGGAGTCAGTCCGATCCATCTCAACACAACAGACTTCCCCAGGGGGGGCTGTCTCAGCATCAGAGCCAAGGGGACCCACGAGCACTTATCCACATACAGAAGCCACCTGAGATGTGGATGCAGCTACTG